GAACTTTATTTCTATGCTCCCAGCTATACCTTCTTACTATTGCCACAAAAATAACGCACGGCAGTATTTACATTCCAGATTGAATATGAATATAATTTATAAAGATTATGTATGGAAAAGTATGGAAAATTATAAAAAAGATACTGTTTCTAAACTTGTATTCAAACAAGTTTTTCAATAATTACAATTTAGCTTTTCACAAACACAAAAAGAACAATTGCGTTACTTGTGAGGAAATAAAAAATGAAAAAGAACCAAAGTGTTATTCTAATGAAGACAAAAGACTTTATAAAGCACATAAAAAAGAAAAACTTGCCACTTACCAAGTTTATACTTCTGATGTAAAATCAGCAAATAAAGAAGCAGTTCGACTGTTGTTGCAAGTTTTGATTTGCAAAAAGTCTTATCTACCCCATATTCACAGAGTGCATTACTATACTATACGAAGAAATACGAATACTACAACTTCAAAGTGCACGAAAATACATATAGTAGTGAATATTGCTATTTTTGGGGTGAAATTGATGGATTAAAAGAAGCAAATGTAATTTCAACTTGTGTAAAGGAATGGCTTAATAAAATAGATAAATAAGTTTTAGAACAAGGAAAGCCTCCAGTGGACGTAATTATGTATTGCGACAACTATCCTGGACAGAATAAAAATAGGACAATGTGTAGAATGCTCTTTCACTAAAGTAAATGCCTTTCCGGGATCATGTCGATTGAACTAAAATCTCTTAACTAAGCTCTTAACAGGCTACAGTTACATAGGTGTAGATACTGTTCATAGTGTTATTGGAACTTTTATTGAAAAACGATCTATTCTGGCACCTTTACTATGGCCTCATTCAATACAGATGGTTTGGTGTTACCCAAGTCCACTTAATGTGGTAAAACTTGTACATTGCAAAAATCTTATATTTTCATCTAAAAACTCCCCTTATATCTAAACTTGGACTAGTCCCAAAAACCAGTCCATTCTCGGCCTTTAACTATTAACAAGACCAACAAGTTCCTAAAAACCATATAGTCCCCAAGCAACCGTCGTAAGAATAGATCTGACAAGCAAAAGCTTGCGACCCGTCAAATTCATTTCTTCATTTATTCATTATTTCCCTTATTTTCCTATTATATAGTTTTTGTGGCCAGTATTGTTGGCAGTGAGTGCATGGTAAAAAGAGTTAGATGCTGTGCCTTATTTTAAGTAGAAAACATATTTAATCTCAACTTTTCAATTGTTTCAAGTCGCGGTGTTGCCATAACGTGCCGCGACTGCATAAACGATTTCCGACCCAACAACGATTTCAATTTACATGTTATACAAGTTAAACATTTACTTTTATCCATGAACAATAAACTGATTTCCTACATTTATTAAATGCTATTTTCTACAGTGATGTAGGCTATTTTTCTTCTTGTAATAAAGATTACATTTTAAGGCTATACATATTTAATATTTACACCTATCCCTTGTCAAGGGAACAACCTTTCAGGTGCTGGATTCTCCAGCTGGTCCTTCGAAGCTAAGAAGTATCTCAGAAGCTTTGTGCGATAAGAAAAATCTTTCTCCGAACCAGCAAAGTTTGCTAAGGCGAACTCCTTATTCGTACAAAACTCACTTACAACGACTTTGAAAATTGGTCGGGAGTCCAGAATTCCTATTTTGCTATTGGTTTGAACGATAGTTGCGGTGATCGATTTCTATGGCCTCAGATTAGAGACATCAAATTTATAAAAGGTAATCCTGACTCTCAGTTTTATTATTCCAAACTTAATAAAGTCTACAAGGGTGTTAATATTATGGAGAGACACAGAGGAAAAGATCTGAACTTTACAGAGGTAAAAATTTGCAAGCCTTATTTTACATAGCGTCCCATTTCTGTGGACAAATATAAAGATTTAGCCAAACTTTGTTCCAAAATGGCTATACCTGTTGGTTGAGTTCTATGAAGAGTATTATTCATTGCCAAATAGTTCTAGAGTAAGAGATTGTTTGCACGAAACCGAGCAAGAAGATTAAAACGTTGTGGATGAACACAAATTAAAACAAAATTTTTTTACTTAACTTTAATAAACTGAAATACAAGTATCCGCTTTTTTTCTTTAATGTTTAATAAAACAGATACTTAAATATTAATTATTTTTACTTATGAGTAACTTATTTATTAATTACTTTGAAATTACGTACTGTATTGAAATTACACTTCAAACGCATGTGGTTTTTATTTTAAGGTGATAGATGGCACCTTACCAATATTAAAAAAAATTACAAGCATTTGTAAGACAAAAGGCATGCATCGCCCATAAGAAAGTCACGGGTAGGTATAATACTAAATATTCCGTAGAAATTCGACCAATAATTTTAGTTTTCTGGCGCCCCTGTAAAAATATAAAAATGTTACTTGGCACCTTTTTGCAAATCAACGACGAATTAGTATTTGCAAATTCTTAAAAATTAAGTTGAAGAATATATTTGGCAAACAACTTGGATTTTAGGTACGTACCTATAGGTTTTAAGTAAATATTTTTAATGTGAAACGGGAAATGATATTAACTTTGCAGATATTATTCCAACAACGTATGAATTTTGAATTTGTTTTTATGGTGTACTTGATTTCACTTAGTAGGTATTTGAATTTTATGTTAGTTTATAAATATTGAAACTTAAGCAATACTGCAAGATAAATGTGAGTTGCCTTCGTTTGGTGCAACTCATACAATGAACGTTCTTTCCAACTTTCCATAAACGTAACGTTCTTTCCATTCAATCCATCTCCATCGGTATATTCCAATCATGTTAAGTCACAGAATAATAAACAAGTTTTTATTATTCTCTGGTTAAGTGAAGAATATTTTGACCAATGACGTATAATATATAGACTCGGTGAACGCTTTAAAAAGTGTCCAAAACATGAATACCTTTGTTATTGTTTATTGTTTTGATACGAAGATGCACGAAGTTCATGATTTCTTACGAAGCATCACGAAGTTGATCTTGTGTTTGAAAACATCATGGACGTACTCCATTTTGTGTGACAAGCAAATTTTATTTTAAATTGTTGAGAGTTATTTACTTACTATTTTAGTAAAATGCCATACTATTTTATCAAAATAATTATTTCTCTTATAGACGGGAACAAAAAGAAATCATACATATTTAATTTTAATTAAAAAAATAATTATTGTCATTAACATATAAATGAGCACGCCGCTGTTCTGATAAACATACCTTCAACCTTGAGCCGAGATCTTTCGGACACTCGATTCTATAGCGAGAATAGGGGACTGCGTAGTCTATATATTATACGTCATTGGTAGTAATTTTCAGTCGGTCAACATTTAACATGCATACCCAACCTAGCAAAAAAATAATTACTAAATTTACTATACAGTTGTAAGTATTTTTGAGTACATTTTCTAAAAAATAATAAAAAAAATTTTGAGTAAAATATATCTGCCAATTCTTAGTTATTGTGTCTGTCCTTTTGTCTTTGAGTTTGTCTCCTACCACTGTCTGATAATCTGCAAGTACACGGAAATATGACGTAATAGTGTAATCGTAGCATAAACTTTTCACAGAAATGGCACAATGGCTTCGAATGGCAATGTATCTTGCTTTTTAGATTGTATGGATGTCACCAGATATAAATCTAAACCAGAATTTCTGCCTGTAAAATTTTAGGAATAAATCTGTGGTACTATATTATAATTAAAATTATCAGAAAAACGGTAGGTATCTGTATGTAAAATAAACCTACGTGCATGTATAATCTATGCTCATACGTTTATTTGTTTTCTATGTTGTCTACATAAAATCATAGAGTATCTATTATAGTTAAATAAAGTACCTGTTTAACCACAATACAGTTTAAAATGCTATACCCGGTTCGCTATTCCCAGTCCGAACTGTCTAGTGATTTTAGTAATTATTTTTTTGTGAAGTTAGTTACTTTTTGACAGACTCGAAGTGGCTGGAAATTACTATACAACCAAGCATACGTGCTCTTAGTCAATATTAATGTAAACAAAAGTAAATAAAATAGAACTTGGCCGACAATTAATATTTATTTATTTACACCGTATAATGTATTGATAGCAAATAATAAAATTATTTATTGTACAAAATAAAAAAAGTGGGAATAAATTCTACAAAATTAAAAAGTCAAAGTGAGGTTAAATAAGACATAGCAAGTTCCTTATGCTGTGACTAGGATGGAATCAATGATTAAAGATTAACAGTTCATTGGATAGCATTAACATAAACTGTTGTTTTATTATCTTACAAAATAAGTGTACTTCCACATGCTAAAAGCAAATATTAGTAATTTGACTAGGCAAATTCGTGGTTCAATAGTACTTTTTGCTCATTAGCATTTGAGGATGTTAAAATCTTCCACATATGGTGAATAAATTCAGTATTCTGGCCGCAGTCTGTAGTCATATAAACCCAAACAAACAACAAAAACCTCCATGTAAGTATAGACAAGTTTATATTAAATTAGAAACAACTAATCTAAAAATATTAACTTTTAAAAAACATTTTATCGTATTTATTAAGAAAAACTTACCAACGCATTAGCTGATGGAACAAATACAAAACTTTGACTATCCATAATAAAATTTAAAATATAACTAACTAATTAACTAAATAGAACTAACTAAAGAATTAAACAAAGATAATAAAACTATATTAAATTAAATAAACAACGCGAATAATACAAATATTTGCTACAATCTTAAATTGTAACAATTCAAATATTATATTTATACAGGGAAAATTTGATGGGTTTAGTATACACCTCCACTATTTAGAATAATTCTTCTTTTTTTCAAAGAAAGAAGTCTGCAATAGTAGTATACTTGAGCTATTAATGCTGAGAAGTAGGAATTGTTGTGTTGTAGGTTTCCGACAATGAGTCTGTCAAAATATGCCCTGGCTAAGCGAATAGACAATATGTACTATGTCAATTACTATGTGTTTAACCTAACCTTAATAAACGTACAAACTTCAAATTTATTGGTTGTGGGTTGTAGGTGTAGGTGTAAAGTGTAAATTTGTATCTTGCCGGTATAATTTTTTACAGTTGTTTAAATATAAATACATTGACATACAAGTTTTTGTACGTAGAATATTATTAATTTGCAAAAAGTAAGACCTGTATATTCTTTATTTTACAGGAAGAAATGAACCCAGTAACTGTTCCTCCTTCACCTAACTGGTATGAAGATAAAATTATTGCAAGTGCTCCTGATAATACTTTAATATATGGATCCAGAAATGACTTAGTCATTTTAGAACAAAATGAAGATACTGAACAGGCAGCTAATGTTAGAATTATTTCAAGAGCACATGCCCAAAGGTAAGAATACTCTTTCAGCTTGTATTTCATATTTTTCTGTACCTCTTAGAATTTAAGTTATTTTTTAATCTGTGAGTATATGGTATAAACGGATTTTGTTGTCAGTTGATTATATGGTATTATAATCATTGTGCCTAAATTTTTTCTGTTAATCTTATTGTTTCCCAGCAAAATAAATTGTGACAAATCCAAGAGATCTAGATGACTAGGAAATATAATAAAGTGGAAATCAAGTTAGTCAAATTATTTATTCAATTGTCTATCACTTTTACTACTTAGCATTCAAGGCAATTAAAATGAAAATTAAATCATATTGTGTTGCAGAAAAAACAGATTTGCTTATTTCTAGTTATTAAAGGTTTAATAATTTAAAGTAAAGTTTGTACTTGTGCTAGGGTTAAAGCAGAAATTTATGTTAGTGCCAAAATAAACATTAATTATCCATACATCAACTTTTATATTGAATCCAACATACTATCTCAGTTGTACAAATATAAAATCTGCTGATTGTCAGCACAAAAGGAAAAAACAGAGTTTTTTTATTAGTTTTTTGTTTATTTAAACAGGAACTTCCCATTACAAAAAAGTACAATATGATTACAACTAAGTATGTATGTCAATATTTAAATAGTAGGTACAAGTTACCTAATAATTTACTTACTACTTATGAAATATAAAAAATATAAATAAGAAAAACAACTTAAAAAATATATTCAAAAAATTAATAAAAATTTAGTTTTGTCCTAAAAACCATTAATTTTTACAAAGATAGTTCTCACTTGAGTGTTCTACAAGCAATTAGCTGTAGATCATTTTCATGTGCCATAATTTGTGATAATTTATATATAATTTATTATTGATACATATTTCAAATGCTGTGATTGTTCCATCTATACTTCTACTTTGCAAATAACTTTACATATTGTAATTCTTACAAGTTTTATTAGTTTATCAGTGATGCAGAATTAATTCAGGATTTTATATAATTTACTTTGTAACACACTATCATAGGTTGATTTAAAATATATGAAAAGATGGTAGTTTGAAATTTTTGATGTTGAATTTGTCCATTGTTGATCAACCAGACATAAAATCTCTTTGATATTTGCCAAGAAGCTCCTCTAAATATGCATGTATTTCCCTATAGTTTCAATTGATAGCCTTTTTTGTGTAGCAGGCCAGTACACCACTAGTTGGTGTTCCTCATTCCAGGTTCTTATTACTTTTTTATGTATTTGTTTAGTGAGACTACCAACACCACATTAAATAAGTTGTGTGTTTATGCTGTCACTTCCTGGAAATTTGTTATTTTTTGGGTAATAGTGTATTGATTCTTACTCCTACAGATGGTGGATGTTGATGTTCTATTTTGGTAGAAAGTAGTTCTTTGCAGTGTTCCACCCACCTATTAAGTATGCTTTAGTTTGTATTGAGTATTTGTCCCACCTTATCCTTACATATTCTCGGCTTTGTTTTGAATCCTTTTCTTGCGTTATTCAGGGTGTTATAGAATTTGTTGGTTTAATTGTGCCTTTTTAATGTCTTCAAGTTCTTCCAAATTTTATTTTCAAAAGCTCGCTTTTCCCTCTGTGCTAATACTTCTCTTCACTTCTAATATCTTTATAATCTTGTTACTGTTCAAAGTTCTTCTTTGCTGCAGAAGTTTATATGATTCATCCTTTCTACAGGTAATATTCTTCTGACACTCAGGATTGAACCAGCCATTACATGGTGGTACCCTTTCTGGACCTAGAATATTATTTGGTGACTCTTTAATATTGTTCTTATATTTTTCACACAGTTTACTAGTTGTTAGATCTTCATTAATTATGTTTTTAGTTTTCATATAGCTTTGAAACCTGTTTAGAGTAATTTTGGATTTTTTATGAGTTTACTATTATTATATATTATTTTACTATTGGCATTGAAATTTTGGATAATACCTTGGTCCAAGGGTTGGATATGAGAGGTAGTCTTAGTTGGAAAAAAAAAATAAATTTAACATTATCCAGTGCAATCTTAAAGTGAGATTTAGCATTACGTAGAAACAATACACTTTTCTTTTCTTCTTTTTCATATTTGTGTCAAATTTGTGGAGCCATGTCATCCATGCCTTTTTCTTGGAGACCCATTTAAGAGGCAATGTATCAACTTATGTCTCTCTGCAGTTTTTCTTCCAGTAAACTTGTAATTTTTCAATGCATGTTTTTTTGGCAACAAACGATAGTAGAGACCCATTTTGCCTATATTAAACACATCTTTTGGTGCATATCCTTTAAAATAGCAAACAGTTTCTTTTTCCAAGATTTCATGATTTCAACATTAACGTCCCTTGAATCTTATTTGACATTATCATGTCTTGTAAGTAATACCATGTTCATGATGAAATCTTTCTAACCAACCATTTCATGACTGGAAGTCACTTAGTCCTAGGCATTGTACAACTATGAGAGCTTTTGGTTGAATTATAGGCCCAAATATATTGGCAAGTTCATATTTCGAGCCTTAAAAAACCAACTAAACATGGTTTGATCCACAAGAAATGATGGTATTAGGAAATTTTTTTTGGTAAACGATACCACCCTCTTCAAACAAATTTTTGACCTCTTCGTTATTTTGTAGCAATATGCTCACTTAAGTCTTGCCTACTTTTTTGATAGAGAGACGTTTTCCTTTTTCTGCCATACTCGTTAGTTCCAAATAGTGATGTAACCAATAAAAAACGTTTTTTAAAAAAAACCGTTTTTTATTGCAAAAAAAATGAAGCCTTCGTTTTTTTTGTTTTTTTTTTCGTTTTTTTTTATTTTGATTTTTTAAGTGGGTATAGTTTATTTAATGACAAAAACATATAATAAATATAATATTCTGTATAATTTTATAACAAAATAATTATTATTTCGTTTCATAATTAATTTCGTATAAATCCTTTAAATAAAAAGACCATGGGTATAAACAAAATAAGAAGAGTTTATTCGTTAACTTGCAAAATCAAAGCAAAAATAAGTAATAAAAATTTATCAAATAAAAAAAGAACAACGTCTTAATGATTGAAAAGGTTCAATTAATTAACCAAATCCCTTAAATGAACACTGATCCGTCCCGTCGCTATCTGCATTTTCTTCAGACTCTGAAGCTTCCTCTTCATCACTTTCAAAGACAGACTCCGACTGATCTGAATTGGATATTATCATTGGTTCCAGTTCAGATTCTAATGCAGGATTGACTGTGAAGCTAGGGCCAGCAATTGATTCTGAACTGGATGATTCACTTGGCTGTAGTTCAGCCATTAATTTTAAATTATGAGCCACATACACGATTTTTAACGCTCGAGTATTGGTCAGCCTGTTTCTCTTGTTGGTGTGAATTCCCGAATATGAAGAAAAGGATCTTTCACATGCTGCTGATGTCGCTGGCAACTCTAGAAAACGAATCGCCAACTTGGAGAGTGCAGTATTTGAGCAAACACCACTCCACCAGGCAATAGGGCCGATAGCTGCATTTGTGTCCTCATTCCATAGAAAAGCCTTTTTGAATAGTCCTTCTTTTGCAATAAAATTGACAATGTCAGCTAAGACGGCTGCTTCATTGACATCTGGCATCTTCTGTGCTACCTTGTGTATGACTTCTGTCATTAAATAAAAAAATTAATATAAATATAAATAAAACGCACTATAACTTAAAAAAATTTACCATCTCATCTGAGCTAAGTTCGCAGCCACGATATTTTGGATCCAAAAGGTTAGCTACAAAATGAACACTATAAATAGCAAACTTCTTCCGATTTTCAAAAATTGCCCTTGTATCTTTGGATAGCAATGGACTTTTAGTGACATTTTCTAATGAGGTGTTAACCATTTTTTTAAATAAATGCAGACATTTTGAAATCGTTGGTGTGTCACCTTCTACAGAGGTAATTGTGTTAGCAATTGGTTCCAGAAGCATAATGTATCCTTGTACCCGGTCCCAAAATATATCGCTTAGAGCATTTTTTTTAAAGATGGGTGTTTGCTTACTGCCTTTTCAAATTCTTCATTGATAGCCATCCTTTTTATTATTTGTTTGTTAGCAAGCAATGATTGTAGACAAAGAACTAATGATCCCCATCTGGTAGGCACTGGGAGTTTAAGACTGCAACTTATTTTTAATTCGTTTTGTTTTTCCTTTACCCACGCAGATAATATGTGGCTTTGTCGGATGGCCTTTGTAAGGGCAACAGCCTCGGCAGTAAACGATTTCAGACTTGTTAAATTTTTGAGATGGGTAAATATTAAATTAAGAGAATGAGCAAAGCATCCATAGGTAAAAATGTTATTATCAAAATCATTTTCAATCAAGGCCCAAGCAGCTTTCATGTTTGCTGCATTGTCTGTGACTATACCAAATACCTTTCGGACCGATTTCACGTATTACTGCACCAAGGGTTTTTGCCATATATTATAATATATAATATAACATATAATATAATATAACACTGTACCGCATCTGTTGCTGTTCAAGGTCTTTCCTGTTAAACTTCGTCCGTAGTACGTTGTTCAGTGGTAATTTTACAGCGGCTCGCCTGTATATTGTCAATGTTTTAATAAATATAATAACAGTAAATTAAATATCTTTTTAAAAATTCCAAAATTCCCCAAATTACATTAGTTTTAATGAACTAATATGGTTCCAACCAGAGTCAATGCCAAATTACATCATTTTGTACAACACTCCTTGGTAATGATGCAATGGCATCGAAACCGGTTGGAACCGTATTAGATTATTATTAAAACTAATGTAATTTGTGGATTTTCTAAAAAATATTTAATTTATTTTTATTACGCAGAATTTCACAGAGTAAGGGCCGAAACAATAAATTTTAATAAATATGGTAAAACTTAAATCTTACCAATGTTTTCCGAAACCATAGCCTTTACACGTAGGTGCTTACTGTCTAATAGTGGGCCTGATACAAGGTGTCGGGTTGGTATCTGAAACAACTTCTGCCACTGTATATTTTCTACTAAAGCCAGTGGTGCTTGACTTGAATAGATAGCCCGGCTAAGCAGTTCATCAGCTTTTACTTTTTGTTCAGCTGTCATTTTATCCATGAATGCGGACACCTCGTTAGATTGTGATTTCGGTTTTTCTGTAAATAAAATTCCAGTCTGTAAAGTAAGGTTATCTTTAGGAATTTCTACTAAATAAAGAAGAGGGAAATTTGGAAATATTTTTAGAGCTTTGGTACATACCTTTAACATTTTCCTCCCTTTTTTCATGTATTGTTTGTAATAGTAAAATGTTTCGTTGTTTTCTCTCCGTCACTCTATACTTTATTTTAACTTCCTCTGGACATTTTAACCATTTTTTAATATGTTCCAACAAACGAGTCCCATTTTTTGATAGTTGAAGTGTACAAAAAGTACACTCTATTGAGGAGTTTTTTTTTCTGTGTTTTTAGCATTTTAAACAGGGAACTTACTTTGCAACTTTTCCTTCCCCGTGATTCCCGCGAAGAACAAGAACTCTAATTCGAAGACATTATAAACATTCAGTTTTTGTCACTAATGTCACTACAGTAGGTAACAATTAATTTATTTAAACACACTTAAATAAGCACTAAACACAAATATTTCCGGCACAAGGCAAGTAAATCACAAAATAACAACAGAACACCTGCAACACCAGGTAATTCCCCGGTTTTCTCACCGCCAACGAATACGAGCGTCCTGCTAAATTTCGGTGATTCCCCAAAAGCAACGATGTAAAAAAATAATAGATAAATGCAGTAAGGTTTAATGCAGTAGGGTTTAATGTTTCAATATTTTTTAAAAAGGAATGTCAAACACTGAGTTTCTAGATGTTTTGGATATAATATTGAAATATTGGGTGATTTTTAGGCTTACAAACAACTCCTAATATTGATATTGTTAATATTACGTTGAGAAAATAATAAAAAACAATTAAAAACAAAAAAAACACGTTTTTTATTGTTTTTTTTTCCGTTTTTTTAGAATTAAAAAAAAAACACGTTTTTTACATCACTAGTTCCAAAACAACACTAATACCACGATAAGAAAAAAAAAACTATTGACTATTACTTGCCAAGCAGAAAATATCAATAAGCAGTAGGAAACACTAGTAAACTAGATCTATGGAGGAGTATCACCAAGCCGCAAGCCCTTATCTTCTGCTCCCAATAGGCTGATTGGACATTTGCGTATTATAGTCTATGCAGCAGATTTATTTAGAATTTTAAACAACTACCCTTTTATTTTTCTGTACACTGGGCAAGGATTCGGAACACACTTCCAGTAGAGCATTTTGGTAGTGAAGCGAAATGCGAGTTGTCATCTTGCCATCTTTACCTTACAGAAATTTTTTATAAAAACTGTAAATTTACTGTTACAAACAACTCATAACAACATAAGCAGAAAAAAAATTTGGTCAGTTTTGTCTCTTTTCTTGATATTTACAAAATTCCAAAAGGATTTCATATTGGTTCTTTATACTTTTAATCAATCTCAAAGCTGAAAATGCAATATAATTGCATGTTGCAAAGAAACTAAATTTGCTTGAATTTTTGTGAGTCGTTAATTTGATTTAATATAAGTATTTTCAAATGTGGCGTTGCCCAGCGAGGGAACTTACCAGATGTAAACCTTTTCAGAGGAACAAATATCTTAACTAACTTTCTGTCCAAACACTTTTGCAGACAATGCTCCAAATTTCCTATCCCATGTTATAGAATTCCATGACCAATCCTTTAAGGAATCGAGTAACCTCTTTCTTACTTTCTCATCGGTACTGAACCGTAAGTTACCCAAGTGTTCCTTTAATTTTGGGAATAAGTGATAATCATTTGGTACTAGGTCCGGACTGTAGGGGAGATGTGGCACAACAGTCCAACCAAAATCTCTCAGCAGTTATCATGGCGAAGTTCTCACGCCACCGGACAATCGTTCTCGACGGTGGTTCTGTATCGCACGTCTCAGTCTATTTAAAATTATTCAATATCTGTCAGAATTAACTATTGTTCCATGAGGTAAAAAGTCGATTAACAGTAATGTTTTCTGTCCCAAAAGACGGTTGGCATGACCTTCCCAACAGACTGACTTTGTTTAAACTTCTTCGGTTTCGGCGAAATTGAGTGACGCTACTTGGTTTCGGGGGTAAAGTGAAACACCCTTACTGTAAGCAGTCGCGGTATCCACCGCGCACACACTTTGTGATTTCCTAATTTTTCTGTATAATATATAATATATGAATTGTGGTATGGGAAGTCTCAGGAATACGTAAAGTAAGGTCGTTAATGTTGAACCTCCGATCTGAAAACAATATTCTTTTAACTTTTTCCACAATTCATTCAAATTCTTAACCTTGATCTACAAATTTCGTTAAAATCCAATAAATATTTAAAACAGTAACGTAACTCTTGTTGTTGAACAACCTATTATTGTTGAACATCACACACGTTGGTTATACATTTCCGCAGAACTTTTAAAATAATCTTTTTGAAAATGATTTCCGGAGTAGAAATCAAAATGTCAGACATTATTTTTAGAAAATGTAACTTTCATAATTGTGGCTTAAGCCCATATAAATCCGTACCTCGGAGGTAAAGGATACTATGTCCATTTTCTTACTTTTTAAGGAGAGCAGTTTTAACATTTTTTAAATTTGTAATCAGTAAATACTCAAATATTTCTGATATTTAACCAAAATTAATAATATATTACTAATATATATTAATATATTACTAATATATATTAATTTTGGTTAAATATCAGAAATATTTGAGTATTTACTGACTACAAATTTAAAAAATGTTAAAACTGCTCTCCTTAAAAAGTAAGAAAATGGACATAGTGTCCTTTACCTCCGAGGTACGGAAATATAATAATAACTCTACAATTTAACAATATTTTTTGGCAATAAAACACTAATTAGGTATAATTAAATTTGTATATTTTTTCATTCCAATTTCCATTCCGAAAATGATAAATGTACACATACATTGCACACACACAAATATATGAAATTAAATTGTTTTAGAATATTATCAGTGAGCATAAACAGAAATTGGAGTCCTTCTAAAAAATTTGCTGTTTCATCAGATGATAAAATAGTCAAGCTTTGGAATGTTGAAACTAGTAAAAAGATAGAGTCCCATAACAAACATGTAAGTATGTTTTAAAAATATTTGGCTACACAATTTTAAACTAGTAAAGATTGTTTTATTATAATTTTGTATATCTGTGGCATATAAAAATACAGGGTCGTACTATAAAACATTTTAAAAATATGTAGTGTGTACTCAAGAGACATGGATGTTGGAGTGAAGAATTTCGGAAGTTAAGAAACTTATATAGATTTTCTGAACAGATAACATGTCTCATGCGCATAGCATTATCAATTTATCAAAATAATCTAGTAGATAGCAGGGAGCTTTTTTATTCCACAGTTCCAACCATTTGGCACCTAGTAACAAGCCGTCATCAGTGAGCTGTTAAGCAAGATTCCATAGTGGGTTTCAGAATAGCAGTCTGTTTGTTTCTAACTGGGGTACATTCTGGTAGATGGAAGTTCAGGATTTTACTGTATTCTTTGAGTGCTTATCTTGGGGTCAGTATTTTTAATATTTTTTTTTTTGTAAAATAGGATTCTGTTTAAAGTCACTCCAAGGTATTTAGAATACTTTTGGTGTTCGAGCAGTATTGTTAAAAGAGATTTCCGTTGGTAGTTTCCCCATAATTACGGTGAAAGCAGCTAGATTAAATTTTATTTAGGTACGTGCCTACATTTTTTAAGTATTTATTTAGAATGAACAAATCATCTGTTAAGGTTGCCTCCTTGGCTCCCAAGTTTTTATGTTGGACACCTAGAGCTAAATCATCAGCATATTCAAATTTGATTACAGGAATGTTGGGAAGGTCTGATATGTAAATATTACATAGAGTGGGGGCCAAAACAGATTCTCGTTTAAATATTATTGGTAGCTCGTCAACTTTTGTGGTTATGCTATGTTTATCGTTTTCGGAGCTGGTGTGCAATAAGTGGACATCTTCTATGTTACTGCGAATATATGTAACACATCCATAGATATGGTTAAATGTGACTCCTAGTACCTTGTATCCTCATTCTTCCAATTCTTCAGCAAATCTTCGGTATCCTCATGCGTTCTTGAATGGTAACTGTGTCAATCTTGTTATCAAAAAAGGGTTTTTGATAGGTGTTCGCAATTTGACCTACTGAATATACTATACTGAAATACAAACCTTATTGTTGCGATGGTGTGTCTCTGTATATAGTAGCCAGGAGATCTCGATGATTGCTGACTACCAGGAATCGTTCTAGTTCAATTAGTTCACATGTAAACGTGTTATCCACTGGGTGCACCACAGGAAGGCAAACTAGTTTACTCCTCTCTATGTACTACATCACAATTAATAATAGGCGATATTAGTTTTTTTTCTGTATTTAGCAAATTTATTTTCAGTACTTTATTTATTATCTTGTTTGATAAATTTGAATATGCCGATATGACAATTTTTCTACTACAGTATACGTTATTCAGTATGTGGAAAAAAGATAACACTTAATTGTTTGAATACGAGTGAGACACAATCTACGCATGTTGCAGTAGTAAGTCTAACTTTTAAACAGCGTTGTAAAATTTCTGTTACATCATTCCTTCTAAAATATTGTCGGATACATGAGTATAACATAATATTTAAATCCATTACTGTTTATTGTAGGATGAAAATTAATATTGCTCCAACAAAACTTACATGAAGTAATCGTGTAACTGTTATTTTTGAAACGATTATATCATTACTTGATTAATTAACAAAGAACACTAAATTGAGAAATTAATATGTAACAACAGCGTGAGCTAAATAAATAATGCACTTCAGTAGACAGACAAATAGTATAAATAGTGTGCCCCCTCTACGAGTGTATGATTTTCCCTCAAAAGAATAGGCGGTGCTTATCTGTACAGCAGGTTTATGATCTATTGTGAAAATCGTAAATGAAATGAAAATTTGTTTGCGTAAATACCTTTATGAAATGTCGTCTAACGGATCAACCACGATTGATTCTGGGGAACGCTAAAATCAAAATTATGTGAATTCGAACGAGCCACCAATTTAGCAGAATTGCAAGAAAAAATTGTTTAACTCTGTAGTCGGGTACGGCAAAATCAGCTGAATGCAATGAGACTTGTAGAGATTTTTTTAAGATGTCTTTAATTTTAATTTAATTATTTAGAATATTTTTTAGTTGGTTTTTTTCTTATACAAATAATATTTATGTTTTGTTTAACGTTAAGTAAATTATTGTTTTATTTCCAAGCTAGCGCAGCTAGAAATCTACAATAATTACATTTAAAACTCGAATATAAGTGTTCGAGTTTTTCTTAAGGTCTATCGACGGAAAGTCTACCGACGGCGACAAAATGATTTTATGCAAAGAACTACACACTCCTCGTCAGTGTCTGATAATTACTGAATGCCGGATGGCCGGTTGTATTTTGGCGCCCCAAAAAAAGTCATTTCTTAAAACCTTACAACTACTCAGGGGAATATGCTTTGTAATTACACTTCAATTCCTTAAAACTAATGTACGTTGTTAACTAATTAAGTAATGGATAGAGTCGATTAGAAAATAACAATACATGGCTACTTGATTTAAGTTTTTTTTAAACAATATTAATTTTCATTCTACAATGAATTGTGGTGGTTTTAAATATTATTTTACACGCATGTATCGGACTAAAATTTTAGAAGGAAATATTTAACACTGCTTAAAAGTCATACCTATTCTTTCGACATGGTGACTGCCTCTCACTTTTATACTACTACTACTTGTCGGTATATAACGTTCTCCGCCGTTTTACTACTTCCAATCGCCACCTAGTCCGGTTGTTCCATAGGTCTTCTTCTATGGCCCTGTTTCTAAGTTCTTTATTTATTCCTTCACTCCAACTTTTTCTCACTCTATCTCGTTTTATCTTTTCTTCTGGTTGCCATTTTAATATTTCTTTTGGTATTCGTTGTTTATCCATTCTTTGTATGTGTCCGAACCAGATAAGTTGTTTTGTTGTTAGGTTATCTGTGAATTTTCGTTTGATTCCCACTATTTCTCTAATGCATTCGTTTGTAATCCTTTCTCTTCTAGATCTTCCTGCGGCTCTTCTCCAAAAATCCATTTCCGTCGCTTTTAGCGTTGCCAGTGTTTTTTCTTTCATTGGCCATACCTCACAGCTGTATAAAGTGATACTTTATACTATAGTCTAATATATCCTCTTTTATTTTCTTTGCTGATGGATTGGTCCCATAAAATGCTGTTTAACATTGTGATGGCTTTTCTTCCTGACGTATTTCTCTCTCTTATGGCTTTGTCAAATGTTTTTTCTTGTGAAATTGTGATAACTACATATTTGTAAAATCCACAAGGAAAACAATTTTTATATTATTAAATAACAATTAATAATAAGGACATATTTGTAGTCACAGCAGTGTTTTATCGTGGTGTTATCGTCTAATATGAGATCGTCTTTTTGTTCTATTCCAATGCACAGGTATTCGGTTTTCTTTTTATTTACTTCTAGACCCCATACATCATACTCTTCAATTAATTTTCGTGCCATATAGTTTAAACACCTCTCATTTTAATTGCCTCTCACGTTTATTCAAACAATTAAGGGGGTATGTTCACGCCGCAGTTAAAATGAGTGGTGTTCAAATAAACTAACGTTTAACAATTTTTTAATAGATGGCAGCACATGCATCATATTTTAATATTTTGATTTTCTCGAAATTTAATTATCTGAACAGCGACGGTGTTGCCAATGAGGCCAAGTACTGGAACTTAAAATATAATATACGATCGGGAGAATCGGTATAGTTCGCTCTCGGTCGGCAGTCTTCTGCAATGTAAGTTGAAATTAGCTATCGTATTATTTGAAGTTTCACAAATTCTAATTTTTGGATTGGATCATTTCATATAATTTTTGAATTTTTGTGTCGTGTTGCGTTGAGGTTCATTTACCTTTGAAGTTAAATTGTTGTTTTGTTTTTTTTTTGTGTTGTTTTTTTTTTAGTTTTGTAAACATTTTAAATGGTGCAAATTAGTTTTGTAAAAAACTAAATTTATTTCAAGTACAAAAAATTACTTATAATAAAAATATACACCTGTAAACCTCATAATTTATTAACCCATCAGCGGACGCTAAGGACTGATTAGTTCTTTGTAATTTTACATTTATCTTGGCAATAAGACTAGTGAATTTATATTCACTTTCAGCCAGTAAACGAAAACCTTCCGTTGCTAAATCAATTTTTTTTTTTCATTTTAAACTTCACTCTGCAAAAATGTCATTAACCCACTCTAAAGTGTGTTTTTAAAGTTGTAACTTCTGCAGTTTTTCCGATATTTTCCATGGACACAAAAACATAAGATGCCATAGTCTAAGGTCTCAAGTGAACTAAGTTGACTATCAATGAAGCTGACTGAATAATTTTTGAACTCGATTGGAGGTAATTTAAATTTGCGTTTCTTCGGAAGCTTTTTCGAATATACTTTTAAGTACCGTACTCTCCACTTCACAAAACTCATTGTATTATTTACTTGTAAGAGTTCCCGGGAAACAATAGTAATTTTCGTAAATGCACTACCGTTCTGCGTTTTCGCAGAAATAATACAAAATTAAATTTTAAGTACAGTAGACTCACGATTATCGGAGTCTAGGTTATCCGAGCCCCTCAGTTAACCGAGGCAAAATTTTGCCTTGGTTTTACCTTTATTTACCTTTATAGTCGTACTTGTTGAATCACAATATCGAGTAATAAAAAAGGGTCGATGGTCAGAAGTTATATCGGCAGCTGTTATATGGGCAATCAATTGAAAATTTTGGATTATTGATAAGAAGAGAATTATTTGTAAGGTATGCTTTAGGTCAAGCTGATGTGAAAGAGATTTCATGCGCAGAAATTTCTGTGTGGTGTTTTGTCTACAACTTCCTGTTCCTTTCTATGTTAATCAATGTGAATTTAACTACCGATTTGTTTGCTGTCGTTCAGATCGTCAAATTAAGTATCTGTACGGTAATATTTTTCCTTTTATGTACTGTTTTGTGAGTTTATTTAAGTTATTAGTTTCGGTTTCATAATTAATTTT